TAACTTCATGGGGCTGTGTAGTGTGTTGTCTGTTTAATAAAATTGTTATTTGGATCCCTAAGTTGGGTTTTGCTTTACTATGGTTTGGCCCTGCTCCAATCTCTGCTCCTTGCCCCTCTAACTTCTGTCTTATTTCTCCCTCTCCTGCTTCTGGCTCACTGCCACCTCCAACACCTGTCCTGAGCTCCTCTCTGCCTCTAAACCCACTGTTTCTTTGCCACTGTCTTATCCCCACTGCCTTTTCCTTTTCCCCTGAGCAACCAGGTTTCTGCCTAAGTTTCTTTCCTGGCTGTCTCCTCCTTGCCACCACTTTTCTGCCCCCCTCCCCCATATCTCAGCTGTCTGCCTCAGTTTCCAGCCCCAGTCTACCTTAAGTAAACCCAAGCCTCAGTTCCTCAGCCAGCTTTTCTGTAGACCACCTGTTCTAATCCTGGTTCTGGCAACTTTCACTCCCTACACTTTAACTCTCTCTCTCTCACCTGAACCTTCCCCCAAGTATCCCAGGTACCCCAAGCACACACATACACACTGTACCATCCAAGTTAGGAACTTACCTGTGTGTATGTGTAGGTGAGTTGTGTGTGTGTGTGTGTGTGTGTGTGTATAAATACACACACACACACACACATATATGGTATTGTGTGCACGATATACAAATTAGTGATCTATGTCTAACTTTTGGGGTGTATAGTGTATATGCTTGAATTGGTGATAGGTATTCATGTGCATAGGCTGGTTTGGATGTGTATGTGCCTGAGCTGGTAATGTGTGTGTGTATGCACCTAACTGATTTGTGTGTTTGTATATGTGCAATTGTGTCACACCCTCCTGTCTAACAGTGCAATATTGAGATCCTCAGTGTTGGCCTGACCCCACAGGGCAACACCTACACCTCCTACAGCGCTTGTGCACTTGCTCTGATCCCTTCAGTTGGAGAGGGGGTAGGTCTTGGAGTACAACTTGGGTTACATATTGCTTAGTGTCTCTTATCCATTGCTTACTTGAATCCCTCGAGAGGGGAGGTATCTCTCTCCTGCTCTGTGAGGGTGGTTTTCCATCCCCAACCACTGTCTAGGAGGGTTAGAATACACTTGGAAAAAAGGAGCACTGACTACACTTAAGTAGGGTTTACCAAAGGACAGTGGGCTACATTTGGAACCATGCCAGCTCTGGGAAACATGAGAGATGGAAGTATTTTAGTCAGGATGCTGCATCTGGACCCTCTTGTATGTTCTGTTTTTATAGTCTGCTTTTGACAGGTTGATTGTGCCCCAGCCTCCAAAACTTACATTAACAAACTCCATATCCTTAATTCATTACAAATACTTATACTGTGGTATGTCCAGGCACTAGTCACTTTGTAAAGGGTAGCTCCCCATACTCAGAATAATTGATGTAAAGCAAGATGACCCTAATACTGTGTTGGTTTACCTAAGGAAACCCCAAACTGTGAGGAAAATGGGCAACTTCTCAAAAATAAACATCTTAAAATGTTCTCTTTCCAAAAGTTAGTGATTTTTTCTAGTTTATAAAGCAAAGAAAATTATTTTTCCTGGAGACATCATTGGAGTAAATCCGAAGACTACATTCATCCATTAAAAGGCTTAACAAGTTATAGTTCTGCCTGAAGTAAAAATCTCAACCCAGTTAGAATTATAGAATTCACTACCATTATGTTCTTAATTTGTACCCCTTTGTATTGTGGTATCATTGTCTTCATTGGGTCCTATGATTGCTTCAGTGATTATGTTTTTGCCTATCAGTTGCAAAGAGTAATGCATCCTTACTAGCCATACAAAGAACAAGGGTAGGCGGGAGCTGACGCATCTGTTTAATTCTGAGTAATCCAGTGCTCTTAGAGGTGAGTAACTTATTGCTCCCATAGTTTTGTAAATGTATTTGTACACTGCTGTACTAAAGATTCCCCCCTTTCTTATGTTTGCTAACCATTTCTATTGTGTTTCTTTTAGGGGTGCACCAAAGATTTTCTTGGCCAATTATTAACCAATCGTGTCAACCAATACTGATCTGATAGTGAATTTACAAGAATGAAGCCTGGCAGCTTGGAGAGTAGTGTCCAGCTGGTAAGTCTGTTGGGGGGGAAAGGGGCGTGTGGAAGGGAAGCAGCTTGAGAGGGGCGTAGATCAAGGCCCCCATGGTGAGGGAGGGAGCGGGGCAGGAGCAGGTGCTGCCCAGCCAGGGCGGTGAATGCAACCATGCTGGGAGTGGGATGGAGCCATGGGCAGTTCGTCGGGGGGTGGCTGCCCATCTCTGCCTGCACCCCTGGGGGAGGCATGGGTGGGCATGTACCCCCCAGATTTGTGCACAGGGCAAGCTGCAGACTCGGAACCAGGGACTGTGCTGTACTCTTCACAGAGCAGGGTCTGGGCTCAGGGTAGGTGGGGGCAGGGTGGTGGTGCTGGGAGGGGTGGCTATAGCCCACCTCATAGCCACCCCTCCCAGTACCACCACCACCCACCCTGCCCTCTCCCTCCCTGAGCTCAGTCCCAGCCCAGCCCCCCTGCTGGGAAGAGGCTGGTGCAGCCCCTGTTCCTGAGCTTGCAGTGAGCCGCCTGCCCTCAACCTGTGCACAAATCTGGGGGGCACATGCCCGCCATGCCTCCCCCAGGGGTGCACGCAGTGGCAGGGAGCCGCCCCACCACCACCCCTTCCTTGCCCACCAGACGAGCCGCCTATGGCTTTGTCCCACTCCTGGAAGGGTTGCATTTGCTGCCCTGGCTGGTCAGTGCCTGCCCCTTCCCCTGCCCTGCTTCTTCCCTCACCATGGGGATCTTGATCTGTCCCCCCATGCCCCTTCCCTCCCCCACACCCCTTCCCCCCACAGACTTACCAGCTAGATGCTGCTCTCCAAGCTGCTGGGCTGCATTACTGACTGTGTTGCAGCTGTACGCATGCATGCAGCATTTATCAGTGATATTATTGGCTACACGGAACTAAAAAAAGCTGATTGCCAGTAATGTTCATTTTCCTTGTATTGGTGCCAGTCCGATATGCGACTGATATATCGGTGCACCTCTCTAGTTTCTTTTTTAGAAGCTGTTTTATTCTTCAGTTCTCTCCCAGGGTATTTGATAATTGTTATGTAATGTATCTGTTACATGCATCTTGTTGTATGTCTTTTAATTTGTGATACTTTCAACTGCATAATAAAATAATATTTTTCTTAAGCTTTTGTATGTTCTGTAGTTCTCTTTAATGATAGGAGATAAGACCTGACCAGACAAGAAGCATCCGTGCTGCATGTAAGTCTAGTCAGGATATGTGAGGCAAATGGAAAAGTTCCTTCCTTGAGCAGGAAGTGGGTTTCACTTTGTTGGGTAGAAAATAGAGACTGAATTCTACCTCTATTACTTGGGACACATGGAGAAAATAACAGTGGTCCTAATACAAAACAGTGGGCAGTGAGCTTTGTAATTTATGCTAGGAAATCCAAATACCATAGTTCATCTGCAGGGCCTACAGTTCCCATGTGCACCAGTTCAATGTTAATGTAGCCAGAGATGTTAACAAGATGTATTTGGAGCTGATGCAGTGCATTAATGAAACAGTGTGCTTGTGGGTAGGCAGTTGCTTCTGACATGCTCTTTGTAGTTGTAGTAGTAGTGGGAATGCCAGGTGTCAGAGTATTTAACAAGTTATGCCTGTTCAAGAATTTCAAGTGGAGCTGCTGAGTAAATTGTAACCTATATTCTGACACCCTGTAAGTGAAAATGAAAATATTACAGCTTGGAAGACTGACTTGTAGGCAGTGCAATTTCAGTAGTGTGCTTTATCAAAGTGTGGCTAAAATAATCATGTTGCATTCTTAACTGTTGCTATGACACTGTCTTCAGGGTACATAATGGAAAAGGATAAATTTCCCTAAGAATCAGTCTGTATTTAAATTTTATTGGGGGGGGGGGGGAACCTTTGGCACAGGAAAGAAACTGAAATAAACGTTATCATTTGCTGTTCTTCCTATGATTCTCAAGCAGGGTGCCACAGGGATTCTTTCAGGGGTGCTGTAGGGTGCTACACAGTATACTGCTAAGTTTGCAAACATGATTTACAAGATAAACCCAGAGTTCAAAAAACAATCCATAGTGTTAAAAACGTTCTGACCTGTTGTGGTCTTTCTGAATTCTTTCCCACAAAGGAACTTGTTATATTTTTTTGTAGTCAAAATCCAAGTGAAAACTGTGAGCTTGCTTTTTTTGAGGGGTGCCTTGAGCCTACTGAGGAGCTCCTTGAGTGTAAAAAGGTTGAGAACCAAGGTACTATGCTGTAGTTCAGTAGCATATAGTGTATTAACTGTACTTTATTTGAATTTAATGTACAGGTATTTGAAAAATAATATTTTAGGGTTCCATGTTTGTGTGCGTGAATTCTATGCTGAATTTGTTCTTCTCACAGCATCTGACGAAGTCAGCTTCAGCTCACAAATGCTTATGCTATTATATATCTACACTAGTTAGTCTACCCTGATTCCTGCTTGACATCAGACAAGCATGGCTAACTACATCTCTCTGTTCCAATAATTTAAAATATTTCCAGAGTACCAGTCCTGAAAATATTATTTTAAGATCTAAATGTAAAATTTTGCTTTTCTTGAGTCATGAATTGTCACTGGTTGGTTCCTTAATTCAGACCTAAATCCAGATTCTCTTACATTCTTCTTACAGCTACAGCTGTAGATACAATATTTCATTTCCGGGGCCAAATCAGTTCCAAATTCTGTTGGGCATAGCACAGTAGTCAAGTTCTAAAGTTTGACTGAGCAGACCTCAATTGTTCAAGTGTCTGTGGCTCTACCACTGAACAAATCCAGCCCCTAACAACTATGAAACTAAGTATCCTCCCCTCCAGACTCAGATCTGGGGCATCAGATACTCTCCAAATGTATGGCAGACATCCTACGTACAAGCCCTAAGCCTGGAGGCCTTGGGGTTCAGATGCCCCCTTGTCTCACTTGCTCCTAGCTAAAAGGTCAAGGAGCAAGCCAGAGGGAAGCATGAATGCAGTTCTCTATTGCCACAGAATTGTGCAACTGAGTTTCCCACCATCAGAGAAACTTGGAGGGTCAGCCTGTTTGGGAGGGACAGGCCTCACCCTGGGAAACCACCTTGATCATGGTATCTCCCCTGCCAGGTGCTTCATTTTAAGCATCTAAGTCTCTGAGAAACTAGTTGTATACTTACGGTTAAATATTGATATAAAACATCAAAGGAATGGTCTTAACAGTTCTGCCAGTGGGCAGAAAGCAGAGCAGTATGACACCTAGGGGCACTTATACATGAGCGCAAAGGCTGCTCTGAAGCGCTGGAATTCCAGCATGTCAAAGCAGACTTGATTAATTGAGTCTACTGGAGTGTGACAGTTATCATGTTCCGTCAGCCTCCTGTGTCTCATGTATCAGCGTCCCCATGCTTAAAAATGGCAGTTGGAGTGCTTGAACTAAAGCTCGTCGAATGAGCTTTAGTTCAAGTGCCCCTGCCACCGTTTTTAAGCATGGGGATGTTGATACATGAGACACAGTGGTCCTTTGAGCCTCTCTTGGAGCAACTCTAATTATAAAGCGCTGCCCCTTTCCACCCCCAGAGCACATGTAAAAGTACCTTAATATCCTAACTCATTCAGAGAGAGGCATGAGCTTTTGTAAGGTAATGCACTTCAAGTGTTATGAATGGACTTGTACAGAGCTGGCTGTGAAATATAAGAGTGATTTAAATACAAAAAGACAGGGAAGGGGGAGAAAGAGGGTAAGGAAGGGAAGAGGGCTCTGCTGAGAAAAACTGTGGGGCTGGAGAGAACACCAAAGCAATAAACCCATGAGGACAAAAGCTTAGATTAAATTCAATGCCTGTTTGAATCTAGTTCTTAGCAGAAAGTTGAAGAAAATAAGAAGGCATTTTTGCTAGTCTAGTTGTACCAAATTAATATTGAATTTTATTTTTTTGGTAGGAAAGGGGAAGAGGATTGTAATCTAAGCAAGGGCTTGTTTACACTACAAGGGTTTTGCTGCCAGACAACAGCTGTAGCAGGGAAGATGCCAGCGTGTATGTACCCCTGCAGCTTTGGGTGTTTCTGCACAGCTCCCCGTGGAACCACGCAGTTATACTGCCAGTTGTCAGCAAGTCACTGCACGAATACTAAAGCAGTGTGGCAGCCAGAAGAAAATACAGGCCCATCCAGAAGTACCCTCAGTTGGCTGCCAGATGATGGCAAGAAGCCTTTGCTCTTGGACCAGCCACAACTCTGCTGGCAAAAAGAAGGGGTTCTACTATCGTGGAGCAGCTGTGTGTATGGACACATTTACATTTCTGCTGACAAAGCTATGTAATGCAGACTAGAACTAATGCAACAATTTTAGAATGCCCTCAATCATTTTGAGAAGAAAATGAATTAAGTGTATGAGTACTTAAATGGCGTGGGGGAGAACTGATGGAATGGAAGGGAGGGGGCTGTAGCACCAGTAGAAGTGAGAGAGATGGGTCATACAGAGAGGTAAAAGGGATTATGGGTGCTCTGGTCAAAGAAGTATATGCTGATTTAGGGGATGAGGGGAGAGTGTGATGATGAGGTGGGAAATATGGGGAAGACTGCCTGCCAGTTCTACATGCAGTCCCTCTGGATGTGTCTGAATCCCCTTTTTGTGCTTCATCTTGTGAGCTAGGCTTAGGGCATCTATGCAATCTGGGTATATCTGCAGTATAGCTGGTGGCTGTCTTTCTCTAGCATGTCTTCCCCCTTCCCCTGCTCCCCCACAAATAAGCTGGGGTTTTTACTTCTTTGGCAGTTTGAACCACTCTTCGTAGTTGCTTGTATAGCTGCTGGCATCTGGGAAGTGCATGGTACAGCTAATATTCCAGATTTGGCATCGTAACAGGTTCTTGAGACACTACTTCCCCGAATATTATAGCTGTTCCTCAGGTTGATAAACTTCACTAACTCTTTCTTGTACATACCTGGGAAAAGGAAGGTTGCTTTGATCGAAAGTTTTGCTAAATGATCTGTTACTTAGAGACCACAGCTGGTACATGGCATCTACCACCTCTAGGTAGAAATAATGAACACAGTATTCGGCAAAAAGTTGAGCTGTACAGAGAAGCAGGGCCTGGTGCTCAAGGTTAGTATCTCTCTCTCTATCTGAGCTGTCCTTGCTCCTCAGTGCATCTACATGAGATGCTTTACTGCACATTAGACTAATTTAGTGTGCAGTAAAGTGTCATTGTCTACATGTGTGCAGCTATTACTGTGCAATGTATTAGTCTGATGCGCTATTTTCTAGTACCTATAGTACCTGACCCCCCACCCTGGCTTGGGACCAGTCCAGTCTCCCCTGATTGGGACTGAAATACCCACTGAGCCAAGGAAGCTTCCCTCTCCACTGTCCAGAGCTTGGGGCTAAGCCCCTGTGCCCTCTGGCACCAGGGTTTGTTGGAGCTCCCCCTGGTTGCTACAACAGGGCAGAGGAGGGCTGGAGCAACTCAGGACAGGTCTGCTCCTGTCAGGCTCAGTTTGCTCCTGACAGGAGTGCAAGTGTAGACATGCACCAGGGAGTGCTTTCATGAACTTGAATTTTCTACCCAGAAAGTTTAGGCACCTTAATTGCATGTGTAGGCATGCTCATTGACCTCTGGGATTCGGACGACTTTGCCCCTTTAAAGAAGTCTCAGCTTCTTGCCTTGTTCCCAGGCATGTGCTTGTATCCGGGAAAGTGCCTCATTTGGTAATCCTTTCAGCCCAGGGAGATGTGTTGCTCCAGTATATGACACTCCAGTATGCTTCTTCCTGTAAATAAGTCTGTCTGTCTGTGTATAATACACATAGATACATACATACACACATGTGAATGTATGTATGGGGGGGGTGTATGTATATATAATATATACATATTGTATAATGGGTGTGTCTACACAAGATGTTATGGTGCTGTAGTGTCCACTGGCAAAAACTGTGATGCCACCATTACATCGCTGTAATGGCGTGCTCCCACATTATAGTGCATTGCTATGGCAATGTAGTGGCCAAGAATAACCATGTGCGGCCAGCACGGCACAGTATGGGCTGTTACTGCGCCATCTTTTAGTGCTTCCAAAAGGAAGTACTAAATGACGGTGCATTAAAAAGGCAATATGGCCACGTGTAGACACACCCAATATATGGTATTATATACAGAGCCGACCCAAGCAGGGTGCGGGGCCCAGGGCAAATCAGTCTGTGCAGGGCCCCGCCTCTGCCCCAATCCCATGCACCCTGGATGCGAAGAAGCTGCTGCTGCCACTGCTGGTGGTGGGGGGAGTGGAGGGGAAGTGAGTAGCCAGATGTGAAGCTGGCAGCGGCAGCATGGTGTCACCACTGCCGTTCCGCTTTCTCCCAAAGCGCGGGGCCCAGGGCAGTCGCCTTGATTTGCACCCCCCTAGGGTTATATGTAGCTTCAGAAGGTGCTAAACAGCAAAATACAACCTTCAGTGAGAATGATAAGCCCCCCCTGGTGTGCTGTGACATAGGTGCTGTTGGCACAACTGCAACCACATAAGGTGTATCACTACTGCAGCCACATAAGGTGATACACATGCCTCATGCACAGCCAGAACACGAACGCCTTTAATACACCTGCACTCCTGCCTCATAAGGGTTCTGTGGCTGGAACGCCTGATTGAGAAACCATTGAGAACTTACTGAGGCAGCACAACAATGATTCTCAACTGGTAGTGCCACCAAATTCGCAAGAGAGGAATGCCCTGAATCTAAAAAGGTTGAGAATCTCTGCCCTACAAGAATAACGTCCCTTTCATTTAAAAGAAGGAGAAAGAGAGAAAGAAATTTGGGGGGCTGAGGGTGGAATCAGTTGCCATTAGGCAGTTGTAACTCTGTTATCTTGTGCCCATCCAGAGTACAAAGTTCAGCAAAATCCAAAGTTCTGAAAACCAGGAAAAAGAGTTAAGATACACACCTGTGCAATCTTAACTTTGCCCTCTTTCAGTAGTGCCTTAATATACCTCGAGTACAGGATGCCAAACTCACCCTGCCTTTCTAAGCCAGGTTTGGACTTCAAGCTTTCTTGCAGGCCAGATTTGGGTTCAATGAACAATGATAGTCGGGGTTAGCAAAGCTGTGTTACTCATCCTCTGTCACTAATACTTACGCTTAATGGTCTGGGCCCAGGATTTAGGCAGCAGGCCCTAGCCCTTCTGCCAGCTCTGCAAGCTGCATTTCATAACTCCATAGGATTTAAATTTGATACTCTTGCTATAGTACAATACTTTGGCTCTGATTTGAGCTGTACTGAACAGAAACTATTTCCCCTTACCTCTGCATCTTCCACAGTAAACACCACATTGGTAAAATTTTACAATCCTTTTGTAGTTAAGCATACAGTGTTACCTGACATCATGCTTTCGCATACTCTTCAATGAACACAGGGGCTACACTCATCTACTTACTGGGTGTGTCTGCATGAAGTGATGACTGTGCAGTAGCCAAATAATACCGCACAGCAATGCATCACAGCACGGACATTGCTAATACGCTACTGCACAGTATTATTCGGCTACTGCACAGTAGCGTCACTTAAAAGACATTTGCTGACACTATTGTGCAGTAGCTCTGGTTACTATGCATTTATTTAGTACTTGCTAATACAAATACTAAATAAATGCACAGTACTGACTGCCCAGTAGTGTCTCATGTAGACGCGCCCACTGCTGACTTTCCGTGTGGCAAGAAGATGCTTGTGACCCTATTACTGATAATCTACACTAGAGATGTCAGACTTGCTATGCTCTCTGGGCTGGATTCAAAGCTAGGGGTTCTTCTCAGGGTAGATTCAGACATGGTGGGGCAGCAGGGGAGTTAACATAGTTATCGCTTTTCCTGTGCTGTGATGCATGCCCAATGGACTTGTGCCTCTGCTTGCCCTGCTCCCAAATTCCTGTCCCTACTATGGCTGCGTCCAGATGAGCACAGTTTGGTTCCCTGGGGACAGTTAGTAACAGGACACCTTGTGCTGCTGCTAGTTGTCCCCAGGTTACGCCTGTACTATACACCCTCTGGTGCATGGCAGGTTATCTTCGGTGGGGTAGGGGAGTGCTGGCTGGCTGTGCTGGTTCCTGCAGCCTTACCTGAAGTCCTGGGGGCTGGAGAAGCTTCAGCA